TCAGCATTTTATTTATTTTTTTTACATTAAATTTTTTTTTTGCAAACCGAAGTGCTGCTTCCAAAACATCAGCTCCAACTATCCGGCTTGTCAGCATGGATGTAAGATGTCTGTCGTATCGAAATTTGGTTCGTAAGTAGTAAGGAAAGGGAGAGTAGGAGCAGGCTGGGGAAGGAGTATTTTGCTTGGAGATGGAGGCAGGGATATTAATCAGTATTCTGTGTCTGGAGCAGAAGCTAAGCAGTCGCCATGTCGAAAGCTGGTCTTTCCCTCAGAGCTTGTATACATGCGCACCTCACGTCATCACGCCGAAAGAAAAAGATGAGATGACAGATGAAATTTAGTAGTGTGACTTTAGGCACCATAACATTTGTGATGTTGTGTTCCTGTATGTTAATGTGTTGTGTTAGAATATGTTGGTGCTATATAATTGTGTGTGTGTGTGTGTGTGTGTGTGGCTGTATGCAGTATTGCAATGGTAAGGATGCTGCTTGTGATGTGTGTTGGGTGGCTGCAAGTTGTATTTCATTGTGAAGGGATGCTGCTTGTGGGATTGCCTGTATACAGTGAGGCTCCTTGTAGATTTGCGTGTGTAGATGGGGGGGGGGGGGCGTTTGCAAGGTAGTATGTGATATGATATAAGTGTAGTATATAAATATTTAGTTTAGTTTTTTCTTTTGTATTCTATTTTCTGTTTTGTCTCTCAACATAGAATCTTTTTTCTCCACTCACTCTAAAAATGGTAACAAAAAAGGGGTAACAAAAAAGGAAAAAAATGTTGATCCTGAAGAAAGTCCTGTTTATAGGACTAAAACGTTGATCTTATTTTAAATATTTTCTAATAAAATTTGGACCTTTTTTAAAATCCAGTGCAGCTACCTTTCTAGACAATGGATACTGAAGCCCTGGATAACTAGCACCCGGTAACCAAGGGTCATTTAAGCGTGAATGCAAGAGGTTTTTTTCATATATAATGTTCGAGAGATCTTTCGCTCACTCTCTCGCTTTCTCTCCTGTTTTGAAACACCAATATTTGTGTTCGAAGTGTTTTTGAAAGTTACAGGGTCAAATTTTTTTTTTACATTGACATTTGCCTGGTTGGTTATGTTGCGTTGAGTGTATGGCAGCCCAGGAATGAGAATTACCCCCACTATGGCATACCATTTGCAATTACCCCCACTATGGCATACCATTTTTAGTAGCCACTAAGTCACAAACACTGGCCAAAGTCAGCGTTCATAATGGTGTTTTGCTTTTTTAACACACAAACCAATATGAACGCTAACTTTGGTCAGTGTTTGTGGCTACTAAAAGACTGGACAGGACATACCCAATATTGAATACCCCGGGTTGTCTAAAAAAAATATGTACATGCGATTCAGAGATATGACAGTTAACAGTGTTGCAATGTCAATATTGATGCATTTTAAAAATTTATGTTTTGAAACCGCAATTTCCTACATGTACTTGTAGCCCTATATTTTGCAAAAAAAAATGTAAAAACTGGGTGTTTTTAAACTCGGGATGAAATTTTTAATCTATTTAGCAGCGCTTTTTTTATTAGCTTTTGTAGAGAAGTAAAATATTTTTCAAGTAAAACTCAAAATTTTATCTTTCAATTTTTTTTTTATTTTTTTTTATATAAATTATATGCCATGATGCAAATAATGGTATGTAAAGAAAGCCCTTCTGGTCCTAAAAAAAGGATATAATTTATATGGGAACAGTATATGAGAGAAGAAAATTACAGCTAAACACAAACACCACAAAAGTGTTAAAACAGCTCTGGTTCTTAACGTACAATATGGCCAAAATAGTCCGGTTCTTAAGGGGTTAATCTATATATTTTATATATAGATAGAGAACCCAAGAAGCACAAAGGGAGACCGGAACATTTATATAAAAATAACACTTTATTCTAAATAATATACAAAGCAAATAAAAATATACATAAACAAGTATGTGTGTGTGCATACTCCAATAGAAGCATGTCGCTAGACACAAAATCTAAAAACACATGTCTCTAAAACAAAAAGTAAAACTAAAACTAAGTCCTGGAGACTACCTCTGGAATAGATAGTAAATCTGACATGAAAAAATTGAGGCTGGAGACACTCAAATGGCCAGCTGATGTGGTGTATAGTCCGAAAAAAATCTAAGAGATCCCTTAAGACCATGTACTTAGTACATACTTAGTGGATGATCGCAGGTGGTCTTCCTGAGGATTTTGTTGATCCTTATTGTTTGTCAATCCATAAGATATGGGTGTCCTGTCACTTCAGTGTCTCTCCTGTTTGCGCATGTATAGATTATTGAGATATAACCATGATAGAGTTCCAGCAGAAAAAGTATTTTTTGGAGATAAGAACCTTTGGAAGGTTGTGCTTTTTTGGAGGTCAGTCTGTTATCCTCCTTAGTGTTCAAATAGACAAAACTTCAGTACAGATGAAAAATTCTGTTGGTCTCATATGAATTAAAACACAAAAGAAACCACCAATAGTGTAATCCAGTATTTACAATGTTTTGGGTAAAATTAAGATAAAATACAATCACAAGGGGCTCTTAGATAGGGCTCTGAGCAGTACAATCCCCGCTCAAGGATAAATCTGGAGCTGTCATCTTTTGATGTTCACAATGTAAACAGCATATGAAAGGAATAAAACGACATATAGTGCTCACTGTTTCAAACAATAGTACTTTTAAAAAATATATAAAATCTACTCACAATTTCAAGAGCATCTTTTGCTCAATGATATCCACTTGAGTGGTATGATCCCCACCAAGGATATATGTAGGTAGATGCGGAGGTTCTTTTAGATTAAAAAAATAACTAATGTTGGATGAAAAATACTTAAAAAATAAAGATAACATTTTGAGGGTAAAAACAAGGTTTACCCAAGACTTGAATGCAAAATGTTTGTACGATACATGCTAACATGCACCAAAAATAAAGAATTATAAAAATAAAAAAAAACAAGGTTTACTGTAATATACCACACAAAATAAAAAAAGTTAATGTCCTTCTATATAATCACGTGTTTCACCCAAAGGCTTTCTCAAGTGATCAAATCATCATCGTTTACTTTCCTTATCTTGATAACTAACAATATAAATACATCTATAAATGGTATGGGTATTAGGTGAAACACTAAAATTTGATATATAAATATAGTGGGTACTTGCTGAAATCACTATAAGTAACTAACATTAAACATTCACAATCTATTTGTTATTGTTAATGAATTAAAGATCAAAAAACATGTGGGGGGGCAGGTGGGATGAGAGGATTAAAGGATCACTATAGGGTCAGGAACACAAACATGTTTTCCTGACCCTAAAGTATTAAAACCACCATCTAGCCCCCTGGGCCCCTCATGCCTCCATTAATATAGCAAAAGCTGTAGTTGTTCTGGTGACTATAGTGTCCCTTTAACCACATTAAGATGGTGATATTCTTGTCAATAATAGATAAGTGTATTTTTTTAATTTATTTTTTTTCCCCACTGGTATTAAAAATCATAGATACATTTGCTTAAATCACTAATAACAAATATTTATAATTTATAAGAAACCTTTTTTGATGTAATGAAAAAGAACATAGGTGATGATCCTAAGTAAAATAAGATGGAGACAGGGAAAAGACATGACTGGGAAATGGGTATTTTATTTTTATTTTTTTCTCACTAAAACCGTTTGATTTCCAAGTCATATGGGCACTTCCTAAAACCATTAATAATAATTATTCACTTAACTTTTATTGAAGCAAGGAAAAAGAATATGGTGGGGAGATCATATTTTAAGAAGGTGTTATTCTACTTGGAGGGAAAGAAAAGAGAAACATGTTTACAAAAGTTTCCTTAATGATGGAAGTGGGTAGGGGAAGGAGGGTGGAAAGAGATGGAGAGAAGGGGAGTAAGGGAAAAACACTCCCATTAAATACAAGAATTTTATGATGCATTAGAAAAATACAATAAATAAAATTTAGAATTATGAGATGCTGAGAATGGCCATCAATCATATTAAGATCCTATACAAGTGAGGTTTTTATTTCTCTTTGGTAAATTAAAGATCTAAAATAATTTTATGCTAGACTAGAGGGCCCCAGGCCCTACTTTACTCCTCGTGTACTCGGAGTAGGTTTCGCTCTAGATTAAATTATTTCTTTCTCGATGAGCGAATGTACATGCTGACCTTCATTAGACAGGAGGTATTTCTTTTATTTTTATGTGATTTAATGTTTGTGTGTATGTGTTCTTTTCAAAATTAAATAATGATTATATAGAAGCTAGTTGGAAGGGAAAACAGATACAATGAAATATGGCTAAACTTATATTAATAAACACTCAGGGTCTCAACTCTCCACATAAAAGATCGATTGTGTATAGTTACTAAAAGAAACAAAGTAGATGTCTTCAGACACACTGAAGACTAGGAGATAAGAATATTTTTACAGGGAAAGATTTTCCATTCATTATGCACCTTTTATAGCAGAAGTGCTCATGAGGAAGAGGGGGTGATTACAGAAGGGGAGGAAGAGACACAGAAGAAGGGCTCGTGAGGGCAAAAGAAGGGTACGGGAGGGGGACAAAAACGGCACAGGAGGGGAGTGGGGAAAGAAGAGCACAGGAGGGGGCAAAAGAAGGGCACAGCAGAAGAGGCACAAAGATACACAACACAGTGGGGAAGGAGAAATACACACAGTGGGTGGAGGAAGAAAGAAGCCTGCCAGCCAGTTACAGCAGGCAGTCAGCCACAGCAGCCAACAGCCAGCAACAGTAAATGAGCTGAGTAGAGCCAACCTAGGCTGGATATGTTATATTAATATATTGTGAATAGGGGCCCGTGTTAGAGAGATGGTCAAAAGATCATATGTGTATACTGCACATGCACAGCATGCAGACTCGGGTTGACAATGCGGATTCCGCATAACTTCTAGTGACGCAGCTGCAACTGAAGTAATGTGTTCAAGAAATAAAACACCGTCTTGACCTCTGAGTGTTGTGAAATGATGCATGTGTTAAGTGTGTCACCTACATAAAACGTTTGGAAAGCTCTATAATAAACAATACTTGGTCAGATCATAGTATTCGTATGCTATTATACAAAAGATAAATTTAGATTCAATAGCAAACCACAATGGAGACTTAATGAATATTTACTTGTGAAAGAAAACAAAATATACATTTCAAAATTAGTATTGTTGTATAAAAGACACATCCCTAAAAAATAAGTGGCAGTTATGAGAGAATACCTAAATAAGCTAAACCAAGAATTTAAGAAAAAAACAAGGAAAGTTTGTCATATCTGTAAATACTTTTTTTAAATTTGTCTAAGGAAAATAAACCACCAACACACCATACTTATTCAGAAATAATAAAAATAGAAGAACAAATCAATTTTAAACGAAGGTAAAATTCGATTAAATGCAATGAAAAAATATATATTTTGCCATAGGCAAAATAGCCGACAAACTACTCAGACAAACTCAAAAAACAATTTGAAAAGTAAAAACAGAATTAATTGTAGAAAAATAAACTATATTGTCTCTAGAAAACATAGACAAGGCCTTTTATAACTATTATAAAGCATTATATACCATAGATCAGTACTCCTCAAAGCCTCTCCTCGAGGCACACCTAACAGTCCAGGATTTAAGGATTACCCAGGTGTGTCAAAAAACCCCACAAACGACTCTAAAGGTATTTTTTTCTTTTCTTTGACACACCTGGGTAATCCTTAAATCCTGGACTGTTAGGTGTGCCTCGAGGAGAGGGTTGAAGAGCAGTGACATAGATAACCACCCTCAAGACACAAATATAGATAAATACTTACAAAACTTAGATTTTCCAAAATTATCAGACTAAACCAGCCTATAAATATAGAAGTTGATCGTGCCATATCTAGACTACAACTATAAAAATAACTCCAGGTCCTGATGTAATATTTTTTTTTTTTTTTTGTAAGACATTCAAATCAAACTTATTAGACAATTTAACATCTGCATTCGTATTAATTAGTATGAATGGTTTTTGATAATATCTAATGATGAATTATGTTGGTCCCCAAAATAATTTACACATATATTGGCCAACTATGCCCTTACCAGCTAAAATGCTACTTATCCAAATGCTACTAGCCGTAAAGCTAACTATGGCACAAAATTAGAAATGTATCAAACTTTTATGGAGTAAGGCAAAAGATCAACTTTTCTATCAAATCCAAATGGAAAAAGATATTTACCTTACTCTGCTATATTCAACAAAAAAACCACATGGGATCAATCATTATAAAAAAAAAAAAAAATTAAAACAAATATCTTACAATGATAACATTATACAAATATATTCTGGGCCAGTACATAGGACATGAGGTCACGCATTTAGGCTCGAAGAAAGGAGATTTAGTCTAAGGCAAAGGAAAGGTTGTGGTGTTTTGTTTTGTGTGGTTTATATACTATAAGGATGTGGAATTCTCTGCCTAAAGAGATGTTTTATCAGAGTCCATACAAATGTTTAAAGAGCTATTGGATTAATACTTGCAAAAACATAACTAACATACAGGGTTATAATTTCTAATTAGTGGGGTAATAGCTGCTTGATACAAGGGGATATCTGACTGATATTTTGGGGTCAAGAAGGAATTTTTCCCTAGTTTGTTGCAAAATTGGAATCGCTTTAGACTGGCTTTTTTTTACCCTCTTTTGGATTAACAACAAAAACATATGTGAGGAAGGCTTAACTTGATGGACGCAAGTCTCTTTTCAGCTATGTAACTTACCTTAGGTAACTCCAAAAACAATATTGTAAATTATGTAAATAGTCTTCTACTTATTTTATGTGTTTTTTGTATTTAAAATGAAATAACTTAAAGATTAATATAAAAAAATTTGTATTTTTGTGTGTTTAAAAATTTAGAAAAATAACATTTTACTACTATAGTTGGCAGAGATGGGCAGTTAAATGTCTACCTAAAGTGTCAAAATACAATTAGATATACTTTTACCCAATGTAAATATATACTTTTGTGTGGCAATTTATTTTCTGTGATGGCTAAACTTACAAAACAAACATTCTACATTTTAAAATTGTGCCATGTTTAAACTGTATTTTCCTTCTTATATTTGACCTGTAACTAGCAAAAGAAACTGAAATTCGAGACCTATTATGTACACTGTAAATCTGTACAAATTGATTTATTTGAATTACCTTTCTAAAGCTGTGATTAAATGAGATGTTATATATGTATATGCCACATCAAATGAAATCCGTATATTTGTATATTATACTGTTGGTGCAATAAACGAGATGGAAATTTAATATACACATAGTAAAAATGCAAAAATTGCTTGTGTCCTTAAGTACAAAACAACCAAATTGAAGCTGTGTGCATAAGGGGTTAAACCAGTGGTGGGGGATGTAGAAAATCCATTGCGCTGTAGCATTTTAAATGCAGCACTCAGGAGCGCTTGCAGGACTACCTCTGCCGGCACAGACCTGCTTTCGTTCCTGCGCACTGTTTCCCGCGCGAGTGGAGAGCGGGAATGATATCTCCAGTTTTGCTTGTTAGTGAGGACATGCCACCCCATTAAGTGTATATTGAAGGGTGAGTGGAGAGTGCCCTGCGAGTTGGGTGTTGCCATTTGTTAAGATTTACAGAGGCCATTGGCTCTGGATTCTAAGTCTCATTACTCTCAGGCAGGGAGTTACTCTCACAATAATAGTGCACAGTAGTGGGTATATAGTAAAATTAATGCTCTAAAAACACATAAGTGGAATCCCCCAAAACCACTCTGACAAGATCATAAATTATACATGCAATAGGTGGAGCATCCAAAATATCTCTGTGGGGAAACAAAGTGCAAAAATAGTGCAATATAACATGGACAATTTGATATATTGTAAGTATCAACAGTATTACTCACAAACATAGAGCCATATCCAAGCATATGGCTCACATGTGAAGCACAGTGGAACTCTTATCAGAATATCTCTGTCCTTCTTTTGTTTGTTCCTTATACACCCTGTTCCAAATTATGCAAATCATATTTTTCTCATTTAACTAAATAATTAATGTAAATAACCGTCAGCATAATTCTCATGTTATCAACTATTAAGAGTACAATTCAAATTTTATTGAACAAACCTCCTAATGATAACAGTATTTTTTTTTTTTTTTAAACATAAACTTACAATGCACTGTTCCAAATTATTACACACAGTAAGTTTCAAAACACTTTATAGGTTGTAAAGAACTGAAAACTGTCATTTGTTGTGTTTGCAGCATATTTACTGAAATCAAAAGCTATTTCAATCAAACTTATAACAACATTTTAACTTTTTAAACATTTTAACAGGTCACTTTACATTTTAACATAGGACCCCTTATTTGATAGCAGCTTCACAAGTCTTTCATTCATTGAACTTGTGAGTTTTTGGACAGTTTCTGCTTGAATTTGTTTGCAAGATGTCAGTATAGCCTCCCAGAGCTGCTGTTTGGATGTAAACTGCCTCCCACCCTCAGATCTTTTGCTTGAGGATGCTCCAAAGGTTCTCAATAGGATTGAGGGCAGGGGAGGATGGAGGCCACACCATGACTTTTTCTCTTTTTATCCCCTTAGCAGGTATTCTTTGCAGCATGAGATGGTGCATGAAGATATTATTACGGAAAGCATAGTTCTTCCTTCTGTACCAGGGAAGAAAGTGGTCAGTTAAACTCCACATACTTTGCAGAGGTCATCTTTACACCTTCTGGGACCCTAGAGGGGCCGACCAGCTCTCTTCCCATGATTCCGGCCCAAAACATGACTCCTCCACCGCCTTGCTGACGTCGCAGCCTTGTTGGAACAGGGTGGCTGTCCACCAACCATCCACTACTCCATCCATCTGGACCATCCAGGATTGCACGGCACTCATCAGTGAACAAGACTGTTTGAAAATTAGTCTTCATGTATTTTTCTGCCCAATGCAGCAATTTCTGCTTGTGAGCATTGGTTAGTGGTGGCCGAATAGAAGGTTTATGCACAGTTGCAAGATTCTGGAGGACTCTCCACCTTGATGTCCGTGGGACTCCAGAGGCACCAGCAGCTTCAAATATCTGTTTGCTGCTATGTAATGGTATTTTAGCAGTTGCTCTATTGATCCAATGCATGGATCTGGCAGAAATCTTCCTCAATGTGCCTTTAGCTGCATGAACCTGTCTGTGCTCTGAATCAGCCACAAATCTCTTAATAGGGCGAGGATCATGCTTACGTTTTCGTGAAATATCTAATGTTTTCATACCTCGTCCAAGGCATTGAACTATTTCATTCTTTTCAGCAGCAGAGAGATCCTTTTTCTTCCTCATATTGAATGAAAATGGTGCTCTGCTTAATAATGTGGAACACCCTTTAGTAGTTTTTCCTTAAATTGGGCTCACCTGGCAATCTAATTATTACAGGTGTCCGAGATTGTTTTCAGTGATCAAAAGAGCCCTGAGACACAATGCCATCCATGAGTTAAACTGAAAAACAATATATTTAATTTTTGTGACATTTAAATAGAATTTACATAATAATTTGGAACAGGGTGTAAGATCTGGTGACTATTGTGAATGGCAATAGGTGTAGAGGATTATTTCCAAAGAAGATCCTTTATTTAATATGGGATAAACATATAGAATATAAAAAGCAATAAAATCTGAGGCTTATGCCTTAAATGTTCTCTGCTAATCCGAAATGCGTTTCGCCCTGAATATGGGCTTCTTGAGTCAGTATAGTGTTCAGGGTCTTTTGGCGTCTTTGTAAAAGCCCGCCAGCTGCCATCTTCTGGATCCGGTCTGTGTGGTGCGTTCCACTTCGTTTGTACTTCTTAGTCGAACCTTGTACATCAATGGAATGCATGATGTGTGTTCCATCGCCGCAATGCGCATGCATAGAGCTGCTTCTATTTTCCCATGGTATCGGGCAGAGTTAATATGCCCATTGGAAATGCTCAGTGCATTCCACAGATCTTCGCTCCTCAGTGTTCTGTTCCCCATAGCTGCAACGATAAATAGTGCAGGATTTATATAAAACTCATTAAAAGCCAAAAAGGAGTGCAAGAAATATAAAAATCACTGGGACACATCATAAAAATACAAGAATCCCTAGAAGTATAAAATATTTCATATTGTAATAATGACCCATCACCCTAACTTGGAAAGGGAGATGTATACATGAAGTACTTA